ATCTATCCTTTTTTCGTTTAATTATAAATTATGTCTTTAACTTTATTATATATTTCTAAACACATATAAATAGTAAATTAAATATATCACACAGAAGAAATTAACTTGGGGGTAGTTTTAATCTATCATATACGGAAGACAAATTAAACACTTGCACATTTTTATACTGAAAATACGTAAAATATATCAAAACTACGTAGACTATGAATCTATAATATCCACTTACCTTAGATCCTTAATAATTGTAATCTTAATTCCGGCAGAGTTCTGACTTTATTTATGACATTTTTCTATCAAAAATTCAGTAGAGTTTCGGGATAGTTTTTGATCAATTTTTTCACTCAAAAATATCTAAGACAATACTAAAAAACTAATCCAAACTACCAAAAAGAAACCAAACTTCAAAACTTAAGAAAAATATTACATTTCTAATTGTTTATAACATTTTTTTGATCGTGAGCTTTCTTTCTATTTTTTTTATTTTTCTCTACTCTCATAAATTTAACAGAATTTTTCTAATATTTTTATCTAAAATCTCAAAATACTCAAAAAAAATACATACTTCGTGCTCCATATTCTTTCTTCACCTTTATACTTTTCATTATTTTTTTCTCATCCGGAATATCTCTTTCTACCTTCTCCCATCCCCTATTTATAGGAGTGGGGAGCCACGAGAGAAAGGTTGTCACCATTTGGTCATATCATTTTATCTAAAAGTCGCCACCTTTTATCATATCATTTCATTAAAAAAGTTATCACTTTTCACATTTCGTTTTATCTAAAAGGTATTTTCACAGGTAATTTCATCTAAAATATTACCACTTTTTACATGACACTTCATCTAAAAGTTGTCACTTTATATAATATCATTTTATCTAAAAGTTTCTATTTGTCACATGTCACTTCATCTAAAAGTTGCCACTTTCTGTTATGTCATTTTATCTAAAAGTTACAACTTTTTATTATACCACTTCATTTAAAAGGTTTTCATCTTTTTTCATGCCTCTTCATGCTTATTATATATCATTCATCCTTTTTTCGTTTGACTATAAACTATATTCTTAACTTTATTATATATTTCTAAACACATATAAATGCTAAATTAAATATATCAAATATAAAAAATTAACTCGGGGGTATTTTTAATCTATCACACCCTTCTTCTATTCTCAATTCTCTGTTGGACAATTATACATGAGAATGGCTCAAAAATGAAAGGCTTAACTTGTACATGAGTTTATACAGCTCAGCAATGTACTACATCCTCATATCATTCTAATAACAATCCTTTCCCGTAAGTAATAATTTTTTAGATGTTTTATGAATGTAAACTTCATTGTAGGTATGAACACCGCTGCACATATTAAGTATTGTGACCTTTCTCCTGTACATCTTGATTTTGTTTTTGTTCAACATGTTTTGTAATAATCAAATAATGAGCCACACATGGTTAGTAAGAAAAATTTGAACATTCAAACCATACGAATAGAAATTTGTACACTTAATCCTCAATTTCCTTTCATTACAATATTTTGCTTTGTGCCATAATTTCTTTTTCTTTTATGTATTTTTTTCCATACCCATTTCATTTACTATTTCGTGCTCTTTTGGTTCTCAATCATACTCCTATTTTCTAGTTAAAACAAAAAAAAAATCACTTGTACAATTTACCTTGAGAGGCAACCCCCCCCCCCCACCCCCCCAATTCAAAATGTTTTGTTGGAACAATGAGCTTAACATACAATTCTATTCGGGTTTCACCCCTCGGCCCAAGCAGCAAAGCCAACTCAACGTAAACATTCAAGGCTTCAATCCTTGATCCAAGTAGCAGGGCTAACCCAACACAACTGTTCGGGATTTCACCCCTTGACCCAAGCAGCAGGGCCAACCCAACACGACCGTTTGGGGTTTCACCCCTTAACCCAAGTAGCCAGGCCAACCCAACCCAACCGTTTGGGGTTTCACCCCTCGACCCAAGCAACTGGGCCAATTAAACACAACCAGTAAGGGTTTCACCCCTCGACCCAAATAGTAGGGCCAATTCGACACAACCGTTCGAGGTTTCACCCCTTTGCCTAAGTAGAAGGCCACTCACACACCACACCCTAGGTTCGGCATATCAGACTGTTCCAGTGCCAATGAAGACTCTACAGGTATTGCATCTGCTAGTGTTTTCCTACTCTCCTCCGACAATTACAATGTCATTCCCACTAGTTTAACTCCTTCCTCCATTTTAATATTTAAATGCAGTCACACTATCACACTTCTACACACAATTATACATATAGGATCATGCATATAGTCATACAGAATAATATCTTCAGATTCATAAAGAAATCCAATAAGCATCCATAAACTTTTTAGTTCAACCCCCATTTAAAATTGAAGCTCTTAATTTTATAATCCTTTAAACCTTTAATATTTTAAGCCTGCATAATAAATTTTTCACCCATGTCATTACTGTCCTCTGACAGATAATAATACAAGAATTCACACCCTCAAATCTGCATGCATATTAAATAAATATCAACAGTAATTTTTCCATTTAATTTTACCCAAAATAAATAATACACTACGGTACCTATCTAACATATATGTACATACGTATATATAGGTTCCAGATGGTATTGGAGAGGAAAACAAAGGTAATGTATACATAGGAAAATCAAGTCCTCCAAAGGTATACAATGCATACAAGAAGCAATTTAAGATGGATTTCTCCAGGTTTTTAAGGCTACGGTGTGAAGAAATGAAGGCAGGAGGCTGTATGTTTCTTATCTTAGTTGGCAGAAGCATTCCACATCCCTCGACCTCTAAATACTTTTTTCTCTTGTGGGATCTCCTTGCAATATCTCTCATGGATTTGGTTGCCAAGGTAATTTATTTTTATTATCAACTTCTAATTTTTATTATTAAAAGATATATATAATTTTACATATATATATTTTTAAATAAATATATTAATCATATTTAATTATATATATATAAAGCTATTATCATCACAATAATCTACCTCATGGATGAACAATTAATTATTAGATATGTACATATACATATACATATATATATACATATATTTGTTTTTTGTTCTTTTTATGCTTGGTTTTAGCATAGCTTTGTCAATATTTCAACAAATGAAAAAATACTTGTGCCAGTAAATAATTTAACAAATAAATATATAAATTCATTAATTAGGGACTTGTGAAAGAAGATGCTCTGAACTCCTTCAACATACCTTGTTACACTCCACTCAAAGAAGAAATAAGAGAGATAGTTGAGGAAGAAGGTTCATTCAATCTCCATAAGTTAGAAACTTTTGAAGTGAACTGGGACCTCAGGGAAGCTGTAGAGATAGGGGAAGAAAATATTGTGATGAATGAGAATCAAGATGGGAAAATTGTTAGTGATTTCGTAAGAGCCATAATAGAATCCATGCTTGTTCATCATTTTGGAGAAACCATAATTGACAGTTTATTCAAAATCTACTCAAATCATATTGCTCAACATCTTTGTTTTCACGACCCCCAGCATGTCAACATTCTTGTTTCAATGACAAAAAAAGTAGATATTATAGAGAAATATTAGTATTTTAATTAGTTATAGAGTTATTATGAATTCAAATTTTTAATTATTAAAATAAGATGTATTTATAATAGAAATGTTGTATTTGATTCAAACTTATTGTAAGTTTGTTTAATTTCTAAATCTTATTTATTTAATATGCATACATTAATTATAGTTTACATATTTGAATGTGCAATTTAATAAATTTCACTCATAACTTTATTCTATAACCATGAGTATCAAATTTGAGGTGGACATAGGATTGGTTTGGTATTATAAAGTATTTTTTTAAATTTCTATTCTACTTGCATTGAATTGTTATTTTATTTTATAAAATTGAAATTTGAATTATTTAGAAAAAAGTAACAATTACATGTTAACAATGTATTAATATTAGTATACTTGGATGTAGTTCCTTAAAATTTAACCATTTAGGATAATAGATTTTTAGTCTATTAAGTTTAGCAACTTGAACTTAGAAGTACGTTTCGCTTGGGAGCACAACATCAAGTAGTTAATTGTTATAGATGATTTTCCTAGGGCAAATGCTTAGATCAACTAACATAGTAGCCTCATAGATAAACTAAAATAGTAACCCCAACCAATAGTGTTGAATCTCATGTAATAATTTACTATAGGTGAATAAGGGAGAGAGAAAAAGAGAGAGAGAGGAAAAAAAAGAGAAAGAGGAGAAGGAGAGCGACAGAGGGAGATACAGAGGAGAAGTGAAGGAGACGACGAAGGAGAGTAAAATCCTAGGGAAAATTCGAAGGATAGGAGGAGTTGAGTTAGTTACGGCTGAGGGAGAGAAAATAGAGGCAAGAGGTAAGGAAATTTAGGGCTTCTAACTCAGTATGGTAAAATAAGATCAACTCTATATTTTTCCTCTTTTCTTAGAATCGATTGAATGAGGTGATCAGGATGAGGAAGGAGAGGTGCGGATGAAGTTATTAAGTTGAGTGTGGATGGAGTGATCCCTATTATGAGAAGGATTGGTGTGGCTAGAGTGGAATCGGTCGGGTGAGGGTATAAGATGAGTGGAAGTTGTGTAGGCTAGGGCAAGTTCATAGGATCCGAGTAGAAGAGGCGAGTTAAGTATTATGGAGCAATGAAGGGTCGTGACGCGGTCGGTGTGTGTGTGTGGCCTTCACAGGCCGAGTGTGACAGTGTGAGTGAGCGGTTCAGTATAGCATTTGGTGTGTGCACGTGTGGTAGATACTAGTTGAGTATTGTGGGGATCGAGTATATGAATTTTTATGATCTGGTGTGTGAGTGTGTGTGACCTCTATGGCTGTGGTGGTAGGTTGGGTGATGGATTGCGAAGGGCCTTCATTGGACGAGAGTTGTTAGAGGAAAGCTATGTTGTACGATACTTCGTGTGTATGTGTGGCCTGTACAGGCTGTTGGTTATAGTTGAGATAGAGGTGGACTAAGTGTGTGTGTGGCCTCTCTAGGTCGGGCATTGCCGGTGTTGGTGTGGACTGGGGCATGTATGTGTGGTCTTTACAGGTCGTTGTCCCAAGTTTGGACATGGATAACTGGTTGGTTGGAGTGTGTGTATGTTGCTTTTCTAGGCCGGGCATTACTAGTGTTATGGGCTGGGATGTGTATGTGTGGTCTTCACATGCCGTTGCCCTAGGGTTGTTAATGGATAACTGACTGAGTGGTGTGTGTGAGTGGCCTCCCCCAGGCTGGAAGAGTGGGAAGGTATGGGTGTGTGGTCTGTAAAGACTGATTTGTTCTGATACTGGTTGAGTAGTGGACATAGGTGAATTGTGAGTGTGTATGTAGGCCTTCAAGACCCGTGGCTATGGGCGTGGGATGTAGTGAGGGTCTAACTTAAGAGTGTTAGGGTGGGGAGTTTCTTAGCTTTCATAATGTTAGTCTTAAATTCTACATTTTTCTTACTGGGCCTATTGATGCTCATTACTGTTGTTTTTGGATGTGTTAGATTAGAAGTCAAAATCAGAATGCATAGCGATGGAGCCCCACACTTAAGGAAGAGACGAACGTTAATATAGGATGATCGCTTGATATATATGAGTGTATACAGTTTATCAATATTTAGATTATAGTTGTTGTAACATCGAATTATGCAGATTAACCATGTGCCCTCTAGGTGTTTAATTGAAAAGAGGTGATGATTACTTTTGAGGAATTTAATGATAGCAATTTGTTGCATAATGAAGGATGTTTTTGGAAATGGGATGATAGGTGGTGGTAATGCCCCATTTTTAGGGCGGGGTGTTACATCTCATATCTAAAATTTATTTTTCATATTTCAGGTTGTAGAAAATGTGATTCATTTTCAAAATATTATCATGCAATATACATGTATTTTATACTTAAATGAATTTCGCTTCAAGAAATAGAATTATTACTTCATCTACTCTCTACACTTATAAATTATTATATTTTTTATAAATTTAGATATTTTATGATGGATGTTATTTTTATTTTACGTATTTGTGGAATCTAGTGTGTTTTAGTTTTAAATTATTTTGAATAAACGATAAACTTAGTTCATTAAATAATAAAAAGTTATAATATTCCGATATTACTATATGAAATTTGTGATTTTAAAATGAGAGTTAAACAGTGTGTATTGTGACACTCCACTAAGACTTGACCAAAAGTCGAGAATTCATGATTTTATTAATGCAAGTTAAATAATTGAGTATTATAGGGTTAAGCTTTTGTCATGTTAACATGTTAGTGTCATATCAACTAGTTTTGATAGAGTTATTTAGTAATATATCTATTAGATCATAAATGATTTATCATATTATTTATTGACATATATATTTATATATTTTGGTTAAACGAGTATTAAAGTTATGATGTAAGTCTTAAATGTACTACTAAAACAATTGTTGACTAAAAATATTTTTATTCAAAAGTTATTTGATATTTAATAAAAATATATATAGAAAATGTTGTAATTTTAGAAAGTAAAAATTGTGTATTTGATAAAACTGATTTTTAAAATTTTAAATATAAATTTTAAAAAAAGACTAAAATCATTTTCTAAAAACTAGATAATATAACTTTTAATTTTAAGCCTATTAAAAAAAATTTTAGTTTTACTTATTGTAAAAAATATTTTGCATTTTATTTTTTTTTAGTTATAAAAATACTTTTAAAATATACGTCACAACAAAAAAAACTAGGCCAAACAAGATTTAAATATAATACCTGAACCCGAAAATCTGTATGGAATAAATTTTTCATTTATAAAAATTTATAAATAATTAATTTATTTTATTTTAATTTTAATTTTATTAAATTTTTGAGAAAAAATGAATTAAGAACGAAATTGAAAATAATTTTAGAGAAAATAGGTGAAAATTTGAATCCGGGGGTATTTTTTAAAGAAGATTTGAGAAAAATGGGTTATATCGTAAAAAGAAAAAGTTTGGCCACGTAGGACAGCCCGGTCAGCAGCATCGGCGAACCAGAGCACGCCACGTGGCAACCCTGCTAACATTAGCACCATGCGGGAGACCACACAAGCGATCCGCGTGCCTGACGATTCGACAGTCCATGTCTCATCCTCCACGCGTGAGCGGTTCATACATATTCCTTCTTTAGACGCGATCGAACAATTAGATTCAATATGATCATGAAGTCCAGATTCATTCTCCAAATAAAATAGATCCAACGGACGAGAGAGGGTCAAGTGTTCCCGAACGAACGGTCTAGATCGACACGGGGAGGGTATTTAAGCATCATGTTCTAGGGAACCCTAACCCTAGCCTCACCAACCCTCACTGGAGAAGAACCACATGCCGAAGAAGGAGGCTGACCACTGCCGCTGCAGCACTAGAGCCACCCGCTGATTGTTAAAAAAGGTAAAAGTTTTAACTTCCCGCTTAGAATTCAATTCCAAGCCTCCCGTGGCCATATCAGAGTAAAAGAAATGGCAGATGAGCAAAAAATCACGAGCAAAGCTCAGCGGAGCCGCCGCGGCCAAAACTCAAAACCATCTCCGATGAGCCCCTTTCTATTTTTCGTTTCACGCGATTCTTAGACCAACATGTTCATCATCTTTTTTTGGTGTAAGTTAGCTAGAGAAGAACCCTAGCCGTGAAGGAGAACCAGCAGAGCCGCCACACCCAGAGACCTCCGCACTGTTAGGTCTCAATTTTTTAATTTTTTCAGTCAACCGAGACTTCCTAACATATTTTTTCATAGATATACGTGTAAAACAGGCCAAAACCGGTCAGGCCGAGGCAAACCTCCACCGTGGGCAGCGGAGCGGGTGGTGCCGCTGTGCCGGAATCCTAAAATTTTTTGACACCGATTTTGGCCTTTTGGGATATGTTTAGGTATGTGACGGGTATTTTGATTTATGCAAGGAAAATTCAGGAAATCCGATGACCATCAAGAGGCATAGCAGCTAGTACAACATTTTGAAATACCGATTCGGGTAAGAATCCCTCACCTTATTCCCTGTTAGGGTAAATTGAAGGTTAATAATCGAATATCTTGTATTGTGAAAAAATTAGAAAAACCTAAAGAATTTTTACTGGTCACTAGTGGAGTCGACATCGGTTAGTTCATATTTGTCATGATTCACTATGTATTTTCTTATACTGCTTGAATTACTTACTATTATATTGTGCGTATTTAATTGATGATTTTGAATTATTTTCCTAGTTGTTTGGTTTAACTCACTGTACATTCCCGTGTTGGTTTGTTCTGAAATAAAAAATCTCAATTATGTTCTTAATGTAATATCGCATATTTGCATAACCTACTGTTGATTTGTGAATATGAAATGTTGGCATGAAATTGACGATTGATTGATGATATAGATATATGTGTGAAAGGCTTACTGGGTACCTTGACCGTTATAGTTACGACTGTCGTTCACTGGGGCTTCAGTTGCCGGCTCCCCTGTCATCAGGTCACCGACTTCCTTAACCTTCCGGCACTGGACAGGCGTAAGCCCCCATACATGGTCTTACGATTTTGCGGAGACCTGTGTTTTTGGTAAACAGTCGCCCGGGCTTGGTCACTACGACCCCC